ACATGTATTAGAATCAAAAGCACTAGGCAAGCTGTAACTCATTCCAGAGAAGTCTTTTTCTTTTTCTGTCTTTTTTTTTTAACTTCTAAGTTTAAATAGATTATCTACTTTTCAGGTTTTTTTCTGAGTTATTACAACTGTTCATTTATATTTTCATCAATCAGTCAATGTATCAAATATTGTCTGACCATCAGTTATTGTCTTAGATATTTTGGGGAAGAGTTAATAAATAATACAGATATTCTTATTACCTTTTGAGAGCTTGAGGTTTAGTTGGCAATATGGATAAATAATAAGGAAATTAAAAATTTGTGTGTGTGTGTGTGTGTGTGTGTGTGTGTGAAAGGTTTTTAAAGGAGAAGTAAAAGGTTCTTTGGCAATATGTAGGAGAAGCAACTATCTGGGATTTGAGGATTCAGAGAAGGTTTCTTGAAAGGACTATTTAAAGTGAACTCTGAAGTTAGAGTAAGTGACAGTGAGAGTGGGGTAGGGTGATGTTGCCTGCAGAGCAAGCAGCATAGACATTTGAGGAACTGAAAGCAGGTTAGCATGGTGTGAGGCAGAAGTAGGGAAGAAGTTGGAAAGTAGACTGGAATATTAAGTGGGAACCCTAATTAGGAAAGAATCTATAGGCAAAATTAAATCGTTTGGATCTCAAACTAACAACAAAAGGGAATCATTAAAGTGTTTTGAATTAGGAATGATGAGATAGAGTAGAGAATGGAGTGGAGGGAGAAGGCATGGAGATATTGGTACCTAGAAGGGGCTATTTTAGAAATCTAGTAGGAGATAATGATGGTTTGAAATAGGATGGTAGTTCTATGGCTGGACAGAAGTTGATGAATTTGAGAAGTTTTTTAGGAGGATTAAGTAGGATAATATCTCTCTAAGCTCAGGAGAGAGCCCTAGACAAGAGATAGTAGCTACTAAAGCCACAGAAGTTAAGGTAATCACACAGTAAGAGTAACAGAATGAAAAGAATTGGCTTAACTGAACTTTAAGCACAATAACATTTAAGGACAGGATAAGAATCCCTCTCTCTCTGTTTTTCTCTCTGTTTCTCTCTCTCTCTCTCTCTCTCTCTCTCTCTCTCTCTCACACACACACACACACACACACACACACACCAAGAAGTTAAAGAAAGGTGAGAAGAAAAACAGGAAAATGAAATGTGATGAATGCAAGGGAAGAAAGTGCTTTAAATATGGAGGAGTAGATAATGTGTCAGATACTTCCAAGAAATTAAGTAAAATAATAGGTGAGTGCCTACAGGTTTAGGTAGACCATTATTGACTTTGGAGGAGTAAGTAATTGGGGCAGAACCAAATTACTATAAATGAGAAATGGAAAATAAGGAGGTAAAAAGAGTGAATATAACTGTGGATTAAGATTAGCTGTGAATGGAAATAAAGAGGATAATGGCTGGATTAGGTTTCAAGATTGTGGAGGAAATGAGTATAGTTGACCCTTGAACAACACGAGGGTTAGAGGTGTCAAGCCCCCACACAGTTAAAAATCTGCATAAAACTTTGACTGCCCCAAAACTTAACTGCAAATAGCCTACAGTTGACTGGAAGCCTTACAGATAACATAAATAGTCGATTAACACATATTTTGTATGTTATATATATTATATACTGTATTTTTTCAATAAAGTGAGCTAGAGAAAAGAAAACATTACTAAGAAAATCATAAGAGAAAATATATTTATGGTATTATACTGTATTTATCAAAGAAAATCCAAATAAGTGGACCAATGAGTTTAAACCTGTGTTGTTCAAGGGTAAATATAGTTTATATTCTGATAAGAAATGGTTTCATAGATAATTACAGTATTTTAACTTTTATAATAAATGAGTAAGGATGGCAAGTTTCTTCAGACTGCATCTTCTTTTACCTTTTAGTGGGCATTGCCAAGGTCCATGGTCTGGTTATCAGTTATGTTCCAAAATTAATCTTACTTATATTAAACTATGTGCCAAGGGGTTAATCAGAATATTAATTTTTAATTAATAGATTATTTTCAGAAAAGTTTTAGAATTACAGAAAGATTGAATGGATTATACAAAGTTCCCATACATCCTTCTCCCACACCCAGCCCCGCACACAGTTTCCCCTATAGTTAATATCTTACATCAGCATAATCTATTTGTTAAAATTAATGAACTGACATTGGTACATTATTATTAACTAAGTTAAGTCCATTATTTAGCTAGAGTTCCTTAGCTTTCACCTCATTCCTCCTTTCTGTTCTGGGATCCTGTCTCCTTAATCTCTTCTAGGTTTTAATAATTTCTGAGACTTTCCTTGTTCTTGATGACCTTGACAATTTTGGGAAGTACTCATCAGATATATTGTAGATATATTGTAGATGTATATGAACATCTACTGGAATTGGATATTTTCTCATGAATTAGGCTGGAGTTATGGGTTTAGGGAAGGAAGTTCACAACAGTAAAGTGTCACTTTTATCATATCTCATTAAGGGTGCATACAATCTACATGATTTGTGACCATTGATGTTGACCTTGGTCAACAGACAGAAGTAATGTCTTTCAGATTTCCTTACTGTTAGTTTCTCCCTCTTATTTTCTTTTTCTTTTTTAAAAAAATGTTTATTTATTTTGTGTGAGAGAGAGAGAGAGAGAGCACATGAGCAGGTGAGAGGTAGAGAGAGAGAGAGATAGGCAGAGAGAGAGAGAGAGAGAATCCCAAGTAGGTTCTGCACTGTAAGTGCAAAGCCCAATGTGGGGCTCGAATCCACGAACCATGAGATTATGACCTGATCCGAAACCAAGAGTCAGACACTTAACAAACTGAGCTACACAGGTGCCTCTCTCCCTCCTATTTTCATTCTTGGAAGGAAGTTACCATGAGCAGCCCACACTTAAAGATGGGGAATTATTCTTCTCCACCTTTAAGATGGAGTATCTAAATAATTTATGTAGAATTCTTCTGCATGAGAGATTTGTCTTTTCTATCTCATTGTTAATTTATTTAATCATTTGTTTATATCAGTATGGACTCATGGATACTTACTTTAATCTTTGAGTTATAATCCAATACTACTCTATTTTATTACTCCAGTTGTTACAGCTTTGATCTTTGAGGGATCTTTTAGTTGGTGCCTGTGTCACTTCAACCTTCATCAGCTATTTTTTTTAAATTAAATTTTAAAAGTTGGACCCCTGTGCTTCACCTATTCATTACTTTCACCCTGAGCCCTGGAAACCATTGATTATTTATCTGTCACTCTTATTTTATCTTTTCCAGAATGTGATATAATTGGAGACATGTAATATGTAGCATCATTTAGACTAACTTCTGTCACTTACAATATGCCTTTAAGGTTCCACCATGTCCTTTATGGCTTGATAGATCATCTCTTTATATCCTTGAATAATAGTCTTGTTTGGATGGACTACACTTTGTTTATTTAGTTGTTGAAGAATAACTTGGTTGCTTCCAATTTGGGGTAATTTTAAATAAAGCAGCTGTCAGCATTTGAGTGCAGATAATTTGGTGTACATAAACTTTTGTACTGAATCAGTACATGCTAGGACCACGATTGCTGAACTGTATGGTAATACTATGTTTAGCTTTATAAGAATATGCCAACCTGTCTTTGATATTGGCTGTACCATCTTACACGCCCACCAGCAATGAACAGGAGCTCCTGTTGCTGCACTTGATTGTCAGCACTTGCTATTATCAGCTTTTTTGATTTCAGTCATTCTAGTAAAAGCATTTCCTTGTGGTTTTAATTTGAAGCTCCCTAATGAAAAATAATGTTGAGCATCTTTATATACTTAATTTGCCACCTGTATATCTTCTTTGAGGAGGTTCAGATCATTTTAGCATTTTTTATTGTGCTGTTTTCTTATATTGAGTTTTAAGAATTGTTTGCACATGTTAGATACAAGTCTTTTATTAGATATGTGTTCTGCAAATATTTTCTCACAGTAGGTGCCTTTTTATTCCCTTAGCGTCTTTCACAGAGCAAAAGTTGTCAATTTTAACAAGACCAACTTACTGTTGTTTTTTTTTTTCTATGATCATCATGCTTTTGGTGTTTTAAAGAGTCATTATCACACCACGGTCACCTAGATTATCTCCTATGTGATCTAGAAATTTTATAGTTTTTTTATTTTACATTTAAGTTGTGATCTTTTTGAGTTGTTAATTTTTTGAAAGGTATAAGTCCTCTATCTAGATTTATTTTGCAGATGGATGTTCAATTATTTTAGGACCATTTAGTGAAAAGAGTATCTTATTTCCATTTAATTGCCTTTTCTTCTTTGTCAAAGATCATTTGGATTTATTTGTGTGGGCTTATTTCTGGGTCCTGTGTTTTTTTTCATTGATATATGTGTCTGTTCTTTTGCTAAAACCATGCCCTTTGGTTACTGTAGCTTTATATTTGGGCTTGAAGTCAGATCATTTCAGTTTTCTAAATAATTTTTTTTACATTTATTTGTTTTTGAGAGACAGAGTGAGACAGAGTGTGAGCAAGGGAGGTGCAGAGAGAGAAGGAGAGACAGAATCCAAAGCAGGCTTCAGGCTCTGAGCAAGCAGTCAGCACAGAGCCTGATGCGGGGCTTGAATCCAAGAACTGTGAGATCATGACCTGAGCTGAAGTCAGACACCCAACCGACTGAGCCACTCAGGCGCCCGTTCTAAATCATTCTTTATCTTTAATATAGTGTTGAAATATTTTGAGTCTTTCATCATCCCATAAAAACTTTGGAATGACTTTATTGATATCCACAACATAACTTGGTGAAATGCTGATTTGGATTACCTTGAAGCTATAGATCAAGTTGGGAAGAATTAACATCTTAACAATATTGCATCTTCCTATCCATGAGCATAGAATATCTCTCTATTTATTTAGATACTCCTTGATTTCTTCTGTCAGATTTTTATAATTTTTCTCATATAAATGCTGTACATATTTTGTTAGGTTTATCTCTTAACATTACATTATTTTCTTTTTCCTTTTTTATATGGAATACTTTGTGAATTTGCATGTCATCCTTGCACAGGGAACTTCCTAATCTCTGTATCATTCCAACTTTTGTATATGTGCTGTTGAAGTAAGCACTGTTACGTTATTTTTGGCGCTAACATAAATAGTATTGTATTTTAAAGTTCAAATTCCATTTTTTCATCATTGGTATATGGAAAGCGATTGCCTCTGTATATTAACCTTGTATTATGTACTTCTGCAATGATCACTTATTTATTACAGGAATTTTTTGTTGATTCTTTGGAATTTTCTATGTAGCAATCATGTCCTCTCTAGACAAGGACAGTTTTATTTCTTACTTCAAAGACTGTATGCATTTTATTATTACTTTTTTTGTCTTAATGTATTAGTTGGGACTTATAGTATAATGTTGAATAGAAGTTATGAGAGGGAATATCCTTTCCTTGTTTTCAGTCTTAGTGGTAAGCCTCTAGTTTCCCACCATTGAATGTGATTTTAACTGTGGGTTCTTTATAGAAGTTCTTTATCAAGTTGAGGAAGATCCTCTTCATTCTTAGTTTCCTTACAGTTTTTATCATGGATTAGTGTTAGATGTTAGGATATGTCAAAATATATTTTTCATATCAGTTGATATAATCATGTCAATTTTCTTCATTAGCCTGTTTGTATGATTGATTACATTAATTGATTAATATTTTTTGAACCAGTCTTATATACCTGGAATAAATCCTACTTAGTCATGGCATATAATTCTTTTTATATATTGTTGGATTTGATAATACTGTTTTGAAGATTTTTCTGTCTATGTTCATGAGAAATACTGGTCTGTAGTTTTCCTTTCTTGTAATTACAGTTTTCATTTGGTTTTGGTAATAATTTTTAATGAAGATGTTCCTGGTTTTTGAGTTAGGATTTGTAGCAATACAATAACACCTATTTTATTCCTTTGAATTAAATTAAATTTGACTTATTTCAATTTGATTCAATTAATTCATTACCATCATTAAGTAATATAGGAGGCACTCAGCTATGTATTGCTGTAGATGATAAATAAAGCAGGTTCCAGGTCTTGAGTCTGACCGTCAATGAATACTTTCCCTTAAGAGAACAAATTCTAGGTTGTATTAGTTGGCAATAGAAAACAGAAGTTCTTTAAAAACTGTTTAATAAAGCTTTGGTAGAAAATGAATTTATGTATCTATCCTAGAATATTTGCTCCTGAGGAGCATGGATTTTACCTATTTTTGCTTTTGTTGCATCCACAGAGCCTATGAAAGCTTTTGGAATAGAATAAATACTAAAGAAAATTTTATTAAATAAAGAAATAAATTGTTGGTATAATTCTGAATGATGATCTGCAACTGACATTCTAAATCTACACATCTTCAACTGTCCTATAAATGTTTTTAAGTGCTTAATAGGAGTGCTATCCTTGACAATTTTATTTATAAATTTTCATAGTAACATTTTATTTTCTTGTCACAGCATCTTAACATCATTGCAGTTGCCAGTTGTAAGATTTTTTAAAATTATGTTTTGATATATTTTTGATTGATTGCTTAGGGAGATATGAAAAAATAACTTTATTAAAAATTAACCCATCTCCAAATCACATAAACAAGTTAATTTTTATTTTGATGATATTCTCACTTCACCACACACGTACTGCCTATGGTCCTCCTTCCCCTTCTCAGTAAAGTTACCTAAAAGGTGTTCAGTACATTGATGTTATTCATAACCTATGTGTTGAAAAGAATGTCTCTTCATTGACCCATGCACACATTTTTCTTCTTTGTCTTAAACCTCTACTTTTCTCTTAGTTCTTGTGGTGTATAATATGGTTTACTGACCACATGTGCTTACTTAGCATTGAAATGTGGCTAGTGCCACAAGATGAAACTATATTTTTTATATATTGGGTTAAATAAAATGTATTAATTAATGAATTATACTTGTTTCTTTTGTTTAACATATCTACTTGGAGATTTAAAATTACATAGGTTGTTGATACTATATTTCTGTTGGGCAATGTTGGAGACTGTTAAGGATATGTGGGATTGCTATTTATTTGTCACTGGGAAGAAACTATATTGTGATTTTTAAACTGCTTATCATGCATCTACTGATTTTTTAGATGCCCAGAGAAAAGCACAAGCAACTTGCCACCTAAACATTGATGTTTCCAATGACTTTTCCAGTGGTGAGAAGTTAGTAACAAATTGGTTGAGTCCAATATTTATGGAAGGAGATGACCCCAAAGGGTCAAATGACATATCTAGATAATCTGGTGGAATTATTATTGGCTCCCTAATTATGTGGTTTTATCGCCTTTGACATGAGTATTAATATTGTATTAGAGTTTATTCTTAAGTCTTTACCTGCTTTGGATTCCTAGACCACATTCACATTAGTGTAGTTTCTCTACTCTTTCAACAGGGAGGAAGCTTCTGTTTTACTCTGAACATTCTCATTATCCATACTACTGACCCTTGAATCATACTAAGTTATTTCTCTAGCCTTGAGGTCTGTGCCTTTCACATTCTGCAGACCATCACACAGTTTCCCCCACTATTTTACTTAGCAAATTTGTCTTGGGTAATTTATACTTCATTTGTATTTCCACATGAATAAAACAGTCTAACTCATTCATCATTTTGATTGCTATCCTTTGGAACATTTTCTATATTTAAACCATTCTGGATTAGATAAATCTCAGTACTTTTCTTTGCTGAAAATAAGTGCAGTCTCCATTTCACAAGCAGGTTGTGTTCCAAAAGGGTAAGAATCATGTCACAGCTGGAGTTTCAGTCCTAAGGCTAGCTCACCAGTCACAGTGTATACCAAAAGTATTGAGTCAATAATGCTGTGAAATTTAACACTGCATCCTAAAATGTCCCTATGCAAAAACATATATTTTCTATTTGGGATGGCAATAGTGCATCTTCTTTTGCTGTGATTGAATTTCAGAAGTTTCCCGAACACTCCTGTCTTTTAGCAAGAGGAAGGGGAAATCTTTCTAAATTAATTATTGTGGGTACCGCCAGAGCCAGTTTAGTGATTTAAGCAGCTGAAGTGTTGGGGAGAAAATTCAGTTTTTGGCACTGGAGTCTGATTATAATTTCTTTCTTTCCCTTTCCTTCCCTTCCCTGTCTCCTTCCTCCCTCCCTCCCTCCCTTCCTTTCTACCCCCCCTTATATATACAGATATGTGTGTGTATGTATATGTGTGTGTGTGTGTGTGTGTGTGTGTGTGTGTCTTTCTTTCATTTCTCACCTGCTTTCTTTGACAGAACCATCCATGGCTTAGAAGTAAAGTTTCTGTTCATCATGGTTTAATATAGAAGAAAAACAGTGTTTTTTCTTTATGGTCCATTTCTAAAACAACGTAAAGTTTTTTCTCATTATTTATTTGCCATTTGTAGAAATAAGGCAATAGCAGTCTTTTCTATGTGGTATCACTCTTCTCCTTTCACTTAATGATTTTAGAGGTGGAAGATAATCGGTGCAAAAAGGGCTTAAAGAACATCAATGCATGTTTTGGTGGAAGATCAGTTGTAGGTCATGCTGGAGCTTCACCAAAGGCACTGGCTATGGGATGAGAGAAACTCTTATTATGGAATCTAGAATAAGAGCTGATAAGGACAGTGTAGTAGGAATGACCATGTCTAGGAGATGAGCAGGGTGAGGTGTGGCAGCTTCTGAGATTTTATCACTTCTTTTTTTTTTTTAGATTTTTTTCTCTTCTGATCTTAATTAAGGCTAAGACTGAGAAGTGGAGAGAAGATGCATCAATAGGACAAAATCTTAGTTAGATTAGAGCCAAGGAAAAAAAAGGGAAGACAGAAGAATTTTCAAGATATTTCCCTTATTTTGGTTGTGTATCTGTATCATCTCAGATTTGTTTCCCTCAAGAGTTTTGAATATCCTTTCTATCATCAACAGCTTCTCTCCTCCTTTAAAAGATACCTTACATATGTCATGGTTTGTACTCAGTTAACTCTGTGCTTGTGGAATTCAACTTTACATTCATGGAAATGATATCCATTGAATGGTTATGTATAGTGGGTACCATTTCAGAACCTTAAGTAGGCCAAGGTATTTAGACTGGGGTTCTTGGAATTCATGAACTTGTAATCCATATTAAAAAGCATGCTCCTTGGAATATTCACTTCAGGTAGAAAAAAACAAAAGTGACCTGAGGTCACTTGTGATGCATGTGAATAGAAAAAGCAAAGTTAAACAAGTTTATTTGCTGCAGAATTTTACTGATTTCTTGACATGATATACATATTGTAAAAGGGAGATGTGGTGTTCATCACCCAGTGATATTATTAGCCAGAGAATTCTTTTTAAAACACTACTTCCAAGAATTAGGATGTTTTGGAATACAATATGTGAAATGCTGAACTATATTTCATTTTTGTATCATTTTTCCACTTGTTTTAAGGTTAAGCCTTTTCTAAAACATAAATCTGAGAGCTTAAGGAAAAAAATCTTTATTTTTTTGTTATTTGTCATGCTGCAGTTTTATCAGCAGTACTTTTTTGAAATCAACTGAAGAATTTATTTGGAAAAAAGGAGTTCTATAACAAAACAAAATATGATAACCACTGATCTAGCCAAGTGCCTCATTTTTGTAAGTTAGAAAACTCAGGGCCAGACATTCCTTGAGGTGATTTATTATAGATCTTAAAACAACTAACACTCAGAACCCTATATCATTGTTCTTTTGTATTCCCCGAACTACAGTGAATATGTCCAGTAAAGCTCAAATATAATAAAAATGGGCTATAATACAGACCCCACTCAGTGACAACAAAATTTAATTCTTATCAACCTCTTTCTCAAGAGTTTTTGCTTATTTATGTCAGGCATATAATTTTTTCTCATGGTAAATTAAGGTATTTCACTAACATCTTATTCTTCCACAAATTGTACTTCATTAGACTAATAAATGTGCAATATTTTGTTAAATTGTATAATATTTTCTTTTTCAATTAAAGTGATTAAACTAATATATGTTAAGTAACTTTTTTGCTGCATATTCCAATTGCAGCATTTATTTCTTATGGCTCCATTTTCTCATTCTTGGCTTAAAAATCTTAGCTGCCAGTC